ATAAAAAAACAGAAAAACTTATTTCCTATTTTTATTACTAGAGGACTTCCAGCCAAGTATATGAACAATTTGTCCTACGTTTCGTCCGAGTTTTCGGACTTTTTTCAAGGTTAAAAGCTAAAAATAATTAAAAATAATGGTTTTACATAAGTCGTAAATTAGATTAGTGACAGAATGCATATCTAAAAAAAGTGTTTTGTTACCTAATATAAATTTCCTATTTTAATTTCACTATATGGGTGGGTTTTATTTTGTTTTTCATCACTTTTTTTATTTGATGGGTATGTGATGTACGTGTAGTTCGACGAGTTAGGCAGAGAATGGTCAGTATTTGGTGTGGTCGTTGATGTGTTTCTTTTTTAAGAGTAGGTAATTATAACAGCTGAAGTATATTTATGGTCCGAGTGACAGAGTTATTGTAAACATTCACATGATATTGGATAGGAGTTGAGAAGAGGTTTTGCAGTTAGCGCATATACAGGATGTTTAAACAATTGTTACTATTGAATAAGATTGCGATATATGCTACTTAGATTTTCTATATCTGTTTGATAATTTACTGTTTTTTTGTTGTTTTGTATTTCGGCCATTTCCAAAAACATGCGTTTTTTGATATTTCTTTCTTTATGCAGTATGGTTGTATCCGGAAAGTTAAAACTGTGTGACTTATTTATGGCGTGTTCTGTTAATGCTGTGCTACATGAATAATTAGGAGTTGTTATGGAATTTCTAATTGACAATTTATGTTGATTTATAGGTTTATTTAAATATTGTTGGGTTTGTCCAATGTAACACCTATCGCAATCTGAGCAATCAATTTTATAAATAACATGGGTTTGATTTAATTTCTCTATTGGATCTTTTAGTTTTGAATATAATTTATTTTTTATGCTATTATCATTTCTGTATGCTAATTGTATGTTATATTTACCTAATTCTTTCTGAACTTTTTCTGATACTTGTGGTATGTATGGTGCCGATATGTATATTTTGTCTTTATTTGGATTGTTTTGATTTCTGTCCTGGTTGGTGTTGTTAAATATGGGTCCAAACAAATTGTTCATATACTTGGCTGGAAGTCCTCTAGTAATAAAAATAGGAAATAAGTTTTTCTGTTTTTTATTGAAGAAATAATTAAATAAAATTTTTCTAATAGCCTCTACGCCTTTAATGTCCTGAAAAAACGAACACTGAATAATATTCACGTGATACAATGAAATATTAGAGAGAAACATTCATAATAGAAAAGCAAAAGGACATAAAGAGCCCGAATCCTCTATTAAACTCTTAAAATTTTATGACCCTTGAAATTTTCTCCTTTGTAATTGATTCGAACGGCTGAGAAGCAGAAAAAAAATATCAAATCTTTCTTTTTCATTCAATTTGTGCTTAAAAAAATCCATTACCTTAATTGCAGAGAGTTTTATGTGGGTTTTCGTGAAAGAAAATATATGTTTTCTTTAAATTAAAGCTACTTAAGGATACTTGTCTCTTGGGGAAATATATGAGAGCCATTTGCATCAACCGATCGGTCGTAGCAACGATCTATTTCTAACAGCACTTTTAACAAAAGAATCTTGGTATGCCGTTCTTTCGACCTTTTTTATTATGGTCCGATAACAATGTAGATACCATATCTAAAATGTCAAAGGACTCTTTTCATTAAACTACTTCTTTACCTTAAAGGTGAAGAATCACAGGATTATGTGAATGCTACTCTGCTTTTTTATCGAGTATTGATTACTCTAAAACAGTAAAAGCGTTTATTTTAGACGTAAGTCAATGAAAGGCAAAGATAAATTTGCTTCAGTGAGGGAATTATTTATACAGGACGTAATCTGGTACACTTCAGGAAACGATCGTGTCCCTAGAAATGATATTAGTTTGTTACATGAACTTTTGCTGGAAAAGGTGATTCATAATAACGGGATGAAAAAATAGATACGCCTACTGTAGCGTATGTCGGAAGATTCTGAAAAGGAATATAAGAAACGACACGTCTATTTAGTAGCGACACCCCAGCAATTGCACATTTCGGGGTTCTGTGCCACAGACACCTGGAAATATCAGAAAAAAGGGTGCCCGACAATCAGTACAGAAGAATTCGACAAGCGCTTCTTGGTACCACGAACATCGCATCGCCGTCTGGTAAGAGTTTTCAACTCATGGTTGAACGAGGAGCAGCAGATTCGAATGGGACGCATTGTGTTTATCCCCAATCCGGCTATAGGCGTATCACTTGCCTCAACTCTCGCTACAAGATATTTACTCGTATCTTGTACGCCAATACACTGGTATCTGTGATCCAGGTTGTAAGGACAATATGCTGATTGACTGCTGTATCACACAGAATTATGTGCAATGGAATCTGTCAATGGCTTGGATCCATTACAGTAAAGCATTTGACACAATATTTTTAGAACTATTGCTACACCAGCAACATTGTTGATACGTATCAAACAGTTACTTGCGCTCTGGAGGACCCTCTTCACTATAACAAGTGATACACATCGGGTCATGACAGGAGAGGACGATACGGGGATGTCTCTGAAGAAGCACAACCTGCAGTCGGACGATGGAAGTAGACATCCACCGATATAACGTGGCGTTATGAGTGATCTGTTGCAACAACTCGTTTCCGACGGTCAGTCTAATCCAAACCAACAAGCTTGGCCATCAACTCAAAGTGATGTCAGTCACCGAGTTCTCAGCACCTACTGAGAGAGAAACATCACCTTGAAGGAGGAGGAAAAGGGGATCAAATATCGTGATTCCGGTACGAGTTTCAAGTGCTATACCCAGGCTGCTAGGTTAAGGTAGTCGTCCTAATAATCGACGTACTTAGAGGAATGAAGCCGATGCTTTTCTCGAAATTGAAGTTCAAACCGGCCTGCCAAGGATCAACCGAATGCAGAAGGCGGTCATTCAAGGTTGTCTGGGTCAGCTTTGGACACACGATTCTGGTATCTACACTTACTAACCCTGTGGGATATGTGGAGTGGCTCTTGTTAAATCTTCGGTGCTACTTCCGTGAGGGTCGGAGTCCACGAAAGAACTACTGCCCGGCATCGGTTCTACCGAAAATAATAATAACAATAATTTTTACAATCTCAGAATTAAAAAATTTTCACCTGGTATATACATTATACAAGTTTTCAAGTTTCTAAAACGATTTTTATATTTTTAATTCTAGTTAGTTTTTATGTTCTTTTAATCCATTGAACATTTACCAAATTGGACATAAGAATCTTGAACTGGAGTAACTCGACTGAAACTGAAATTATTTACTCATGCGGAAATATAACATATTCAAGTCAGAGCTTTTTTATAAGATATTCAATGTGCTCATTTTACATGTTCCACTTAGTTTCAATAAAATCGCACAAAGTAAAGTTAAATTTTTGTCAATTTGATCTTTCTTTTTTCACCATTTTAGGATTTTTATAGAAACCGTGGAGGTAGAGCGCAACTTGATTTGATCACTGAGCTTTCTTTGCATATCGTCTATATCCCCTTCCGCACTTACTTCCTGTTTCCGGGTAAATCTAATAATCTGATATACCTGTAAGAGTCTTACAGCATCGAACAACCTGGCTGGGATTAATATCTTAGATATTTTACCGAAGTTCTATGACTATGTACTGATTAATTAAATTAAAATGTTTATTTTGTATTTAACAAAATTTATTTTTGATAAAATTGATAAAAAATAATTGGTTTACGTCGAGCTACGGTTAATGATACCACAGTTGTAAGTAAAAACGAAGTATTTCTAAATATTTTTATGATTAAAAGTTGCTTTTAATTAAAATTATTTCTTAACTTTTGGAACGCAAGTCTTTTAAAAATTCGTATATTCTAGATTTGGGTTACAAAAATTGAGGTTTTTATTGTCATATACCGGGTGAGTCACGAATTGCGCTCGCCCCGATATCTCCTAAAATATTTGGAATAGAAAATTGAAATATCGAGGGCTTATTATACGACTAAAATGCCATCTTTTCAATAAAAAATCAAGTTTGGTGCACATCCGGTTTGACCGGAAATGACCACAGCTTTCGATTTTTAAATGAAACACCCTATATATTTTTACATTTTTGGAATCTAGAGGAAATTTTGAATACAATACATCCATTTTCGTCACTTTTTGATAAACATTAAAAATTTTATTAAAAAAATCTATTTCTGAATCCAGAGTGCTGTGGTGCCCAAAATATATTTTAGTTTGTGTGCTACGTTACTATGATTTTTCCAACGTTATTAGGTTACCAGATTTTAAACAGAAATGTGTCATTTTAGTTTCCAAAGCCCATTAATCTATTAGCCGCATGTTTCTAAAAGCTTGGTTGCATTGTATTTTGGCTGAAATCTCAAATATTTCTGAGCGGATTTTTATAATTTTGGTATCATTAGATTCGTATGAAAATGGGGTATTTAAAAATGTTGGTGAACAATTAACTTCCCATTTAAAAAAACCGAGTTAGTGGGTAAAAATCACATTTAAAAATTTCAAACGCCTCTAGACAATTAAGTAATGCAATCATATTGCTCTTTTTATTTTTATAGTAACGTAGCACACAAACTAAAATATATTTTGGGCACCACAGAGCAAAATTTTTAATGTTTATCAAAAAGTGACCAAAATTGATGTATTGTATTCAAAATTTCCTCTAGATTCCAAAAATGTAAAAATATATAGGGTGTTTCATTTAATAATCGAAAGTTGTGGGCATTTCCGGTCAAACCGGATGTGCACCAAACTTGATTTTTTATTGAAAAGATGGCATTTTAGTCGTATAATAAGCCCTCGAAATTTCAATTTTCTATTCCAAATATTTTAGGAGATATCGGGGCGAGCGCAATTCGTGACTCACCCGGTATAGTCTCTCCGCATCTACCTAAAGCTTGTTTACTACTTACAATTAGCTGTCTTCCAGTTATTGTTATAGTACGCTCCTTTCTTCTATTTTGCAAAATACGATATATTCGTGTTATTATGAGTGGTAGTCGAGTGGGTAAAACACTTATAGCTATTCACTCGATACCGAAGGTCGATGGTTCGATTCCGTCCTGAAGCAAGTGAGAAATTTTATTTGTAATTTGTTTCGGGCTAAGATGGGATATGAAATTGTCCATGCCGTAGATGTGGTTAGGACTAGGATATTCAGAGGATACATGGGGGTTTTGAAATGTGGTTAAGAAAACGTTTAAAAATTTCATTGTCATTGTCGTCTTGGACATTTCAACTCTAAATTAATATTTATTCCAAGTAATAACTCTTGAGTATTTTTTGCATTTATTCTGTTTTAAACACTAATTATATGTAGGATAAGTTGTCATTTTTCACATAATCATATTTTTTTTACTTGTTTGTTATTGAAGTAATTCATAAAAGGGATGAAAGCATACACCATTTGTGAAATCACATTTGTAAAGAGATTCTGGGGCCTATCTACACAGCGAAATTCTAATGAATAATATATTAATATATTACATTATTTTATGTGTATTATTTCATATTCTCCGCAAAATTTAATACATCCTATCTCCAAAACAATTTTCTTTAATACAGAATGCGTCAAAAGCTGCGTAAAATATGACTTATTTTTGCATAATAACGTTCAAGTCTGACATATGAAGAAAGATAGAAAAGCTCATGGGGAATGTTATTGAAATCATCCCCGATTCTCCTTTATAGTATAATATAACGCGGAACCCGATGGGATCATCTCAAATATCTCGATATCAATTTTTGCCTTAAACATATACTTTTTTTATGACGGATTATAACTTTTTTTGCGGCTACAGATTTTTAGGTTGGAAAGACTTGCTTTCTCCCACATATTTTTACCGAAAGTTGGTAACCGACGATGGTGGATGGGCTTGATTGAATCTAATATATTCGTATCTCAATAATAACATCTTGAGAGTGTATTATTTGAAATTCATATCTTATTGCTTATGCTATTGCATTGTATTATACTATAACATTTTGTTTGATCCTGTGTTATTTCAAACAACGAGGATGAACATAATACAAAATAATAATATCGCAAACATAATAAAACTGTTTATATTTCTGTTTTCTCGAATAATATACGGGGTGTCCCATAATTAATTACCTTTCTTCAAGGGGCTGATAGAGCTATAAAAATAAATCGTGTTTTGTATATAACTTATAGTGAAGAATTATTTAATGTCAGTTACGCTGTATTCAGATCAGATCGAAATTTTTCTTTAACAAATACCACTAGGGATGGAGGAGTACTTTTAGCTGTAAATTCAGCCTACATATTGAGCCAACTAGATGCAAAGTCTATGTTTGAGGATTTATTTTATATCGATATTGCTGGAATTAAACTAATAACTGATAATCTTTTGTTGTATATATTTTCACTTTATGTTTCATCTCATATAACAGTTGAAACTTACCACTCCCTTTTTGTCATATTTAGCTGTCTTGTATACATTTATAATGCAGATGTGGTAGTCCTTGGTGATTTTAATATACCAGAATATTCTGAAACTTTAATACACTTACAACCGATGGGTACAGTGTCACCATTATTGCAGTTTCTTAACTTCTTAGGTATCATTCAGTGCAATAATATAGGAAACTGCAATAATAGGTTATTAGATTTGGTTATCTCTAATAAAAAATGTATTGTGGAAAAGGCATTCGACATCTTCGTTTCGGAAGATTTATATCATCCTGCACTGGTAGTTATCTGTAAATCAAAAAATTCTTCAAAAAACAATAAACAAAAAATAAATATTATATATTACAATTTTTGCAAAGCAAATTTTCCTGAGCTTTATCAGTGCCTTGCAGAAGTGAATTGGAACTTTTTGACATATTTGTCTAATGTCGATCTAGCTACTGAAAGTTTCTATAACAAAATTTATCAGATACTGGATGTATATGTACCGAAAACTAGGCAGCGTAACAGAAGTTACCTACCCTGGTTTACAAGTGAAATAATACATAATATTAAACTAAAGCATAAGGCCTGGAAACGGTAAAAAAGCATAAAGATGAAAATGCACTGACTGAATTGAAAAATCTGAGAACGTTAATCAAAGAAAACATTATATATCATATAAAAATTATTGCAGCAATATCGAAAGCAATATTAACAGTAATCCAAACAAATTTTGGCAATTTTTAAATAATAAAAAAAATACATTCACCATACCTGATACCATGATTGATAATACTGAAGATGTACTGGGCTATGAGAATATTGTTAATAAATATGCCAAACACTTCCAGGATTCGTAAACACAACTCGACAAAAATTATAAAAACGAAATAACTGATTTAACTTCTGATAAATTTGATATAAGCGGTTTTTCGGAAACTGATGTGTATGCAAGTTTAAAAAAAATTAAAACCGAAATTTACCACTGGATTAGACAATATTCCTGTCTTTTTTATTAGAGACTGTGCCTGTGTATTTGCATATCCTCTAACAATCATCTTTAATTTATCTATTAAAACTGCTGTTTTCCCAGAAACATAGAAAACCTCTAGAGTTGTCCCTATTTTCAAAAAGGGAGATCGTGCCAAAATACAAAATTACAGGTCTGTTATTATAGTTAATAATTTCTCTAAAGTTTATGAAATTCTGGTGTATGAATTTATTTTCTTTTACATGAAACATCGCATTACGCCTTATTAGCATTGATTTGTAAAACTATTGGATTACGATACATATATTTTTAATGCCACTTAATTGGGCAAAATACGGAAAAAACCCTAATTTTCTGTTTGGCCATGGATGTTACTCCCCCTAGCGGCCATTTTAGAAACTCGAAAATATTTTCCAACGATTTTTTAGGGTCACTTTACTTATGACAATTTTTTTCCCTATACTTGTGCGATGATTAGTTTCTGAGATATGGCCGGCGTCCATTCTTAGTTGCCCACCTGATACAACGATAGTACAGTCTTTAGAACACGATTTACTCTCTCGGTGGAATTATTTTGTGGGTGATACAAAGTATTAAACAACGGTTTTGCACCCTAAGACTCCAAAAATTGTCGGAATTCTTTACTTCTACCGTATTGAGTTGCGTTGTCCACTATTATTAAATCAGGAACCTCAAATAATAGAAAAACTTGTTCCTCAATAGCTTTAACGACATTTTTAGCAGTGGCAAACCAATGAGGTACAGAAATAACAAAATTGCTGAAATAGTCTGAGAGTGCCTGCGGTGCTATGTTTTAAGATAAAAGTGCATTGGATTTTTTTACCTAGTGGTTTTATGTATATTTATTCTTTTGGCTTGGTTTGATATATTTCGTGAATTTCTTTCAGACATATATTCACAAAACCAAAACTTAGAAAATATTGAAAATTTACCACTAGAAATTTTTAATAAAAAGATACCTCATACACAATAAAGTATTACGTACTAATTTTTGGAGTGTTTTATGTTTTATTTGCTTCACAAATAGATGACAATAACTACTTATTTAAAACTTAAACTACTATTTTTAAACTATTTCACACCACTATAATATCTATTTATAAAAAAACACGCTACGTCTCGCCAATTGTATCTGGTTAGCTAAGTTAAATCTATGGGTTTGCTGTACTATATTGTTGCAACTAACTAATTACCTACTTTGTTCTTTATCGTATTCATCGATCGAGAGCTCTAATTTCGAAAGCGAGAGAATAATCGCATTGGACGCTACAGATTCATCGTGCAATAATTGTGTAGAACTAATTTTCTTAACTACTAATATTAGTACTACTAATTTTTAGAAGTCATAATCGATTTTCTCGAGATATTTAAATAATGGGTTCGATTATCGTATCGTATCATGATTATTCCTATCACTACTGCCTGTCCATGTGAACAATAGCCTCGGAAGTTGTGGAACGTACAAACATACGTATAGACTAAGGCTGGGAATCGAATATAAATAATTGGAGTATTCGAATATTCGAGTATTAGAATATGAATTATTCTAATGGGAAATTATTCGAATATTCGGAATATATTCGAATATTCGAATACTCGAATGTATTCGAATATACGAATACTCGGATATTCGAATACTCGAATATATTCGAGTATTCAAATATTCGATTATATTTGAGTAAATTTGAATATTAAAATATATTATTAAACTATATACGAATAGGTATGCAGTATGCATCCAATCAAAGTAGGTAGATAGTAGGTATAGGTAGGTACCTATTCTAAAATCCAAATATATAAATAGACTACATTAGTGGTACGTCTTACTCCCAGTCAAACTATTCCATCTCTTTCTCGCCTCGACCTTATTCTTACTGTACTAAGACAGGGGTTAAAATTAAATTTTAAATTTTAGAAAATCTGTAAATATTTAACTATTGTCTTTTCATGTATTTGTTTTACCTTCACAATCATTTATCATTTATAATGATCTTAAATCAGGCCCTAAATATTGCAAGCAATTTGTCAGATAATGTTATTCTCTGTGGCGATTTTAACATCGATGCAATGAAAAAAATGTTATAGTACCAACATATTATTTGATGTTTTCGAATCGTTCGAACTACACTTAACCTCTATAGCTCCTACGCGTATATTTACAAACATAAATGGGCAAACCTCTTCAAGTTGTATTGACTATATGATTTCAAATGTTGCTGTTAAATATCTAAATCTCGAATCGCATAATCCAAATATAGCTGACCATCTCGCGCTTATCTTAAAAGTAACCAATGCTAATATTGAAAAAGATGCGACCATCACTAACTTTAATAAACGTTCTTTAAATGAAAACAATATCAAAAACTTTATTTTTGAGTTAAACAGACAAGATTGGGGAGATATATATTCTACTGATTTAAATTGCTCTTTTGACGCATTCGTTCATACCGTTGTGTGGTGTTACAACATAAGTTGCCCGATCAAAAAGGTAACAATAAAAAATTATAACAAAAATTTAAAGAAGGAATGGTTAACGAATGAATTAATTCTTCAAAGTGAATATGTAAAAAATCTTTATTGGCTTATGACTAATAGTAATTTTGGGGAACTAAAAAGTCTGTACAATCAACAAAAAATTCTATAC